GTCTATGGTCCACAATTCAATTGGAGGGTAATTAGTGGTCGTAAGGATGCTAGGAAGATTTTAATAACAAATTTTAAATGATAATTGCTCACCAAATATGGGTTTCTGAGGTGCGATTTTGATGTCATTGTGTTATTCTGGAAATAATTAATTAGTTAAACCCCTTTAAATCCTAATTCTGAGAGAAAAATGTATTTCGGTTGAAAAATTACAAAGGCATTTTCTTAAAAATATAGACAATCTTTACAATATAAATGCGTTAGTTTTCACTTTTCCCAAGTGACACATTAATTTTAAAATGAGTGAAATGTGTTTCTTCAAATGAAGGTTACCTCTCAGTTTACACCTTGTATATATTACATTTCCAAAATCTGGAATATTTTTGCTTTTTTCCTTAACAAATCTGTACAGACAACGAGAGTCTTCGACGCCAGTTTGCTGAGAAGGCCAATGGTGTGGGTCCTTGGATTGAGAAGCAGATGGATGCTGTTGCAGCCATTGGCATGGGCATGCATGTAAGTTGCTGGAAGATATTATGTCCAATACTCTTAAGTAGTGTTTTGGTTCAAAATGTACTTAAATTAACATAAAATATTTAAAGCTTATTTTGGCTAGGCTTCAGCTTTTTTAAACTTTTAAGAATTTAAACTTATGTTATTGTTTGCTTTGCACACTCATGATTGTAGAGGGTGCTGATGGTAAAACATGAACAATGGCAAATTTTAGTGAGTCAGTAAATAACCTTGTGAGGTAAATGGCAGTCAGTGTAGAACTGAGTACTGTAGTTACGAGTCTGGGGATGTGAAGAAACTTTATCCAGAACATGTTTATCTATTGATCTTGTTAATCTAGAAATGGATTGTGTTTTGTTAAATATTCCCTAATTGGTGAATAATGTACAGTAAAACTTAAATAAATTTGTGTGAACTTGTATTAACTGAGGAAGATCTGTAATAATAATGAATGAGTAAGGATAATAATATCAGATTTGCTTCTTTTTTCCATCATTAGTATATAATATCTCTCAAGAATAATGATGACATTTCTCATCTCTCCGTAGGGTTCTGTTCTCGAGGATCAGCTTAACCGTCTGAAGGATTACGAGTCTGCTGTTATTGGCAACAAGGCTATTATGGATGAGATGGAAAAGATCCACCAGGCTGTGCAGGAGTCCATGATCTTTGAGAACAGGTACAGTACATATTCTGTATACTTAAGTACCATGTAGTATTCTGTACGATATTATGGATTTTTGGTTTACCACCTAGATTTCGCCAGCCAGTCCAATATTTTATCCTAAAACTGTGATAATAAATTGAATACTATATGGCCTTGACTTTTTTTTTCTTCAAGGCAACATAGTTATAGTTCACCTTATTGACAGCTGTTCAGGTGCAAGCCATGCAATAAACCAAATTCTCTAGGTTGTGGATATGTGAAATGACTGCTGCTTTGGTAGGATTCTGCATATATCATCATGGTGTAGAAATGAAAGCTAATAAAAATATGTTTGCACTAGCACAGTATTTGAAAAATTGGTTTTAGTTTACCTGTTGTGAAATAGTTAATTAACATAAAGAAAATAATGAAACAAATACTGTACACCAATAATTTTTCTCTCTCACTCACTCTGCACTTTTCAAGTGAATAGAAATATTGTTGAAAGATTATTACAGCATCAGATTATGTTTTAATGCATAAAAAAATATATTTTATTCCTATAGGTATACTCAGTACACAATGGAGACTCTACGTGTTGGATGGGAACAGTTGTTGACTTCAATCAATCGCACCATCAATGAAGTGGAGAACCAGATCCTCACCCGTGATTCTAAGGGCATTAGCCAAGAACAACTCACTGAGTTCCGCTCATCCTTCAACCACTTCGATAAGAACAGGTAAGAATATTGTATCTTATTCCTCTGCTCAGTACTATCCATTAAAGTATCATACTCTCCTACAGTCAGGAACAACTCACAAAATATTATTCATTGCTTATTTTAATAACAAGTAACAAAATAAAGCCATATTCATGAATTAATCCCTTAGATAACAGGTAAAAATGTTGCATACTCAGATAGCCAAGATCCTTAGGGGCATCATTAGAAAAAAAAGTCAGTCAGGTTTATTTATTCTTCAGCTACTTAAAGAAAAAGGCAATAAAAAAGCACCACACCTCACTTATTGGTACAATAAAAGCTTTATCTGGCACCCACAGGGAATTGATGGTACCGGTTAATGAAATATTCTGGTCAGTCAAGCCTTACTCTTATAGATGGAGAACATTTACAAAGAGACAGGGAAGCCATCCATCCAAAAATACATAAGGTTCAGCCAAATTCATAAGTCTTGTGCTTTCTCAATGAGTAGAGGGCCTGAGAGATCACCTTCCTACCTCTTAGAAACCCACTCCTTTAACACTTTGGCAAAGTGATCCAGCTTCGTTGTATACAGTGTACGGCATCCTTCCTCTGCTTTACTCGATTCAACCTTTATATACGTGAGAAAGTGTCTCTTGGCCTTCATGTTGTTGATTATGGGTGAATCAATATTGAACTTCCACATCAAAACTGCAGTTTCCACCCTTCACAAGGTGACTGCATATTTGTTTTCACATCTATGTTGGATGCTGTAATGTTTGGATGGATAGATAATCTATTATCACTAAGAGCAGTATCGGATCCGCAATACCGTAATGATGGACATAAAACAAACTAACTATAATGTAATGCGGTGCAGTATGGCTCCAGCACAGATGCCAGCAAGTAGAATGGTGATTTGTATAGGGCCATATCAATTTGGGCAGATGTAGAGCTTGTCAGTTTCCCAAATAATAGATAACAAAGCTTTTACTGTATGTTCTACACCTATATATTGCATTTTTTGTACCCCCACCAGAGAGGACACATAGTGTTGCTTCTGTCAGTCCAACCTGAAATTTGTTTTTATATAACTAGTCCTCCTGCTTAAAACTTGGAAGGTAGTATAAACATCATGTATAGATGTACATATTGCCCGTTTGCTACAGTTTAAAATATATCAAGGTCACAACTGAAGGTCAATGTTCAAAATTTTACCTGAAGTGTAACTTTTGTAATGATACAGTACTGTATTGAAACAAGGCTAAACAAGGATGTCTCATCACTAGACAAAATGGTGATTACCAGAGTCAAGTATGTCAAATTCAAGCTCACCAGAAAATCAAAGGAAAAGCTTTTTCAACAGTCTTTGCCATATCAGTGCAGATGTTTTGACAAGACCTGTCTAACTATACATTATCACAAGACAAAATACTGAACACTACATTCATGTCTCGGCCAAAGGTCAAGGTTACTAACTGTATTCAGTATTTTTCTCACCTTTTGACCTATCAGGTTCCTTGTATGTGGTGATTAAATGAATATGATAGTCAATTTAGAATTTAAGACTTTTTTGACACTCGTGAGCAAACTTTCTCTAACTTCACCTTGCAGTTATTGTAGTAGAATAAACTTGGATATTTGTGTATGATCTTATTATAGTTATCTCGATAGAATTAGATATTGAATTGTGAATATTAGCTTTCACCCACACAAACATGGAAAATGGCCCTAAAACGATGAAGACTTAACCATTTCAAACTGACTTAATATAGACAGTATATTTTGATGACCATGTATGGGGGATCTCTCTCTATTGAATAAAATTGTCAGGCATTAGCCAAGTAGAACATTAAAATAGGCATCCTATAGTGAAGGGCTTAAAATATTTCATGGTTGTACAAGATTAACATTTTCCTCTAACGTGAAGTGATTAGTTGTGCATTTTACCATTTTTCTTTTATTTTTATAGGGGTGGCCGATTGGCTCCAGATGAGTTCAAGTCTTGCTTGATTTCTCTGGGCTACTCCATTGGCAAGGACCGCCAAGGTGAGATCGACTTCACACGCATCATCAGCATTGTCGATCCCAACACCACTGGCTTCATTCAGTTCGATGCCTTCTTGGACTTCATGACTCGGGAGAATGTGGATTCTGATACAGCAGAACAGGTCATCGATTCCTTCAGGATTCTTGCAGGAGATAAGGTGAGATTAAGTAGTGATGGAGGAGTGTTTTGCAGCAGCATTACTAAGGTGTGTAATCATATTCATTTGAATCCCCCCTTCAGGAAGTTTCTTATGCTGCTAATGAGACAACAGAATTGTTTTCATGTTATTATTGTTAGTAACCCTAATGTGGTAAAAAAATGTGATGATAATAATAATGAATTTAGACAACTAACCCTAAATTAGATTATTAGAAGTTAAATACAGTATTTAGATATAAAATATAATAAGGTAAAATTTACCTGCAAAGGGAGTGGTGGAGATACTGAGACGAAGCTGCAGGATTGCCTATCACTTTATCTTTACATTCAAAATATTGATTCAAACAACTGGATAGCATTGTTCTTCTTTTTCATACAGCACCAGGTAGCAGTTAATGTCACTGGTTATTAATTTGTTTAATGTAGAGCTACATTCTCTGTTTTGATCACACTCACTGAAGGTGGTGGGTAGGCCAAGCAATCTAGTGATGTCAACAGCTTGTTTACCAGCTTCAAAATGCCTTAAAATATTCAATTTATCCTCTCTAGATTATTACTTTTATTTTTTCTTACCAGATGCACAAATATCACTTATTGGATATTTTATAGGGTTTTGGTAAAGTTTTACTTGATGTAAACATGATCAAGCGAATGTGGCGGTGATGTGTGAACTGACTAGGGAAGTGACGCGATTGAAAAACCAGTTATTTGGGGTTTTAAGGCTATCCAAAGAAGTCCGTTACTGTCACGTGATTTTTTTTTCTAAAATTCATCAACAATGTAGAGCAAGACAACACAACAATGTATAGTAAGACAACACAACAATGTATAGCAAGATAACACAACAATGTACAGGGTCTAGCAAGACACAACAATGTAAAGCAAGACAACACAACAATGTATAGCAAGACAACACAACAATGTATAGCAAGACAACATATAACAAGATATACCTGTATATAGTACTAATAGTTCACCTTCCTTGCATTCCTTAGCTACAGCATTTAGTCTTATGTAATAGAATAAAAGTTGTTTGTTATCTTCTTGGGTAACATTGAGAAATGTACATAAATTTTTAAATGAAGTCAATGAACTGACATTGTCACAATTGTTTAGACTAGAAGATTGTATCAAATTACTTCTGAATGGGCTGTGTGGCATGTAGTGTCGATTTGCCCAATTGCTAGCATAGATCCATTTATAAAAACATTGAATTTTGTGGATTTTGGAAGCTGTAAGTGTTTCATAATGTCTCTCAGTGAAGGTCCTGGGCATTCTACAGAACCCATTAAGAATACTCTTGAAATCAAGAGGAAAATACTGAAGTCACTTGCTGATTGATGAGTCCAAAATAAAATTAAGCACAAGTACATTCTATGATGTCAAGAAGAGTCAGGTTCAATTCTGTGTTTGTACAATAAAACTTAAGGATTCAGAAGAAGTTACAGGGAAGAGAGGTTTGGGCATCACCTTTGCTTTATTCCATCATAAAAATCAGATGTACAGTAATTTTTTTTTTAATTTCAGTAATGGAATTAAGATAATTTTTATCTAGCATTATTTTCGGCACAATAATATACAGTAGTGCCGTTTTCTTTAATTTTATGAGTTTATTATGCTTAAAGTGTATCGGTAAAGTATTTTGGTATTTAGTAAATTTTCGGAACACTCAATTCCTGTGCATGCTTTCCCGTTAAAATTTGAGCTTAATATTTAAGTGCACAAACCAATCAACCAAACACTAGCTAGCTACACATAATTCTTATGATCATCAAACCAAAGTAGTGGCAACACTCACTGGAAGTTTGACTTCATATGAAAATCTCCATACTTTCAATTATTCCTTTCAATCTACATCCCCTCAATTACAATATTGAGAAGGTAAAAGCAAACTTTTATTTTGTTACATAAAGGCTGAAATATATGTAGTTAAACACCAATTTGGTATACAAAATGTTGAGAAGAATTAAACTAATTTACAGATAATCGCAATTTGTAATTTTCTTATTTTGTTACGGATGGAGAAAGCCCCAATTATTTCGAATTATGGAAATCTTGCCTCTATACTGGATGAATCGCAGCACCTGTATAAAATCTTCACTGTTTGCCAGGGTCACGTTAGATAACACTCTTCTCAAAGCTGATCGAAGCGGGAAAAAAACTAGCAGATGCTAAGATTGTATTGTGGTACCTGAGCTCCCACCTGTCCACCACTGCAGACATGGATGAAGAGATCCAACTGTGTACCCTTGTCTTAAGCTGTAAGGAGCTGAAATTATCTACATTGATGTATGTATGTTGATCAGTGGTCCTCCCCATCCTGCCGTATGGCAGCAAGACATGTCACATACAGGAGAAACCTTGAGACACTTGAAAACTTTCACCAACATGTCTACATTCTATCCTCCAAGTTTGCTGGGAAGACAAGAGAACAAATGCCAGTATTCTCATTTACCCAAATTGTAGGAGCATTGAGGGTGACATTATCCATGAACAAGTGTTGGACTGGTTATGTTATCCCCAGCTACTCTATTGTCACCTAAATAAAGGTACAGTAAACCCCTCAATAACTCGGCACATACATTACAGGGCTCTGGCCTTGCCGAGTTATCCTAAATTCCGACTTATTGATGCACACCCCCCCCCCCCTACAAAAATACAAAATTGTCAACCCATATATGTGTAAATGTAATTACTAAATGTAAAAAAAGTAACACTACCAGCACTGCAGGCAAAGATTGAAGCATCATAGTAGGTGACACAGATCTGGTAGGTGATACAGAGGCATGGTAGATGATGCAGGTGGCCAGATATGCCGAGATTTTCCCAGATAATTTTATGTCTCGGCATTTCCCAAGTTATGCTATAATACATTCCTTAACCATATCCGTGTCGAGTTATATGAAATTCCGAATTATCAAATGCCGAGTTATTGAGGCAACGGAAAAGATATAAGGATAGTCTTATGACAAACCTGAAAGAGCACCAAATTGACCCCCTCACCTGGGAGATGATCACTCCACATTGTAATGCTTTGAGGAACACCATACGGAAAAGTGCCAATAGCTTTGAGTTAGCTCAACTACATACCGAGGCAGACAAGCTGCTGCCACTAGATGTAGCCCTCCACATGTGCAACATCTGCGGACAACCCCGCCAGTCCCGTATTAACCTCTCGAGTCACCTCCGAGCTCACCTACAAAGGTGACATATCTAATAACTCGTATCATTGTCATATCTGGATGATCGTTATATACTCGATTCTGGGTGACAGCAAAGTAGTAGTAGTAGTAGTATGGTATTTGTAAATTCTATTGGTCTTACTAATTACTGATTTTTTCTCCTCAGCCTTACATCCTCCCAGAAGAGCTGCAGCGTGAGCTTCCTCCAGACCAGGCCGAGTACTGTATCCAGCGCATGCAACCTTACACTGGTGCTGAAGCTCCTCCTGAGGCTCTTGACTACATGTCCTTCTCCACCTCCCTCTATGGTGAATCTGACCTGTAAATCTTGCGCACTTTAATCTCGGGGGTAAACCTCGCACACTATCAACTGCAAGAGGGTAAACCATCTTATCATCCAACCCTCAGCTGAGCATGTCAGTGACAGAGGGTGAAGTCACAAGAGACAGTGTTTCATTGTGGACCATCAATTTCATATATAGGTTGACTGCATTAAAAGTGGACCTAAGACAAAAGTGTCTAGTGATGTGACTTAAGAACTATATATACAGTATATATGTATATGCTATGTATCCTGGCGATACATAGAACAAATTGGAGAAGTTAAAGCTCAGAGACCATTATTGAACCCTAGTTCAACCAGTATTGATACTGTTAAGGACTTTGCTCTGCACAAATATCCAAATCTGGGGGCAGTGACTGGCACTCGAATGATTGCAGCAGTTCCTATGGAAGTGTTGTCTATAATTTGAATGCTGATCACAGCTGCTAGATAGCGCAGTTTACATGGCGGATTAGACAATACTGTCTGCAGGTGCTATAGAGGAGGAGCGGGACAAAGACCAGAAACTAAATAAGTTTGGCACAATGCAAACTTGATGACAATATCAGCTGGAGTCTTAGACTACTTCATAAGGCTCAGATCTATTCCTAGCTCACTAAAAACTGGTACTTTGCCTGTAACTGACATTCATGGATGATTAAGAGACCCTATGGTATTAAATTTTCCCCAAACACTGCCGCCAATAGTGCCTCCTCCTCAGTTTGTTGTTCTTCCAGTGATCTGTCTCACCCTCTGGCCCGTATTCCAGAATGTCTAGGTAGATCTGCTCAAGCATAGGAAGTAGATAATGGTGAATAGCCAGTCAAAATGTGATGGCCATCAGCATTGAAGTGATATATTATTGTATATTGGAAGCTGATCTGACTTGATGTTTAAGAATTCGGGCCTATGTGTCTTGTTGTAGTGTAATCATGGAATCTAGTCCTAAATGCTGTAGCCGAGCCAACTTTCTCAAAGCCAGAAAGCTGCTTCTTCATAAGCAGAGTTTTTGTTGTAAATATATCCTCAATATTTTATTACAAAAATCCTGCTTTTTCTATGCTAATGTAAATTAAAAACTACTGATCTTCCCTCAATGGTTTGTGATGTGTATATTGCCTCTCTTTGCTCCAATACAGTTCTGTAAAAACCATTCTGTATCATGTAAATCCGTATTAAAGGTATTAACAAGTGGGTGAAGGTGATTACCTGCTTTACATTCATTGATTGAAGTGCAGTGCTTGTCTGAATGTAAAAATTCACACTTCAGACCAGTGCTCTTCTCAGTGGTACGACCGTTTGCAAAAACTTGTATGTGCTTTGTTTATACGAGAGCTACAATCATGTTTGTTATAATTAGATAGTGTTTTTCAAAGTTTTGATCTTATCTGTAATTATCCTAGGGCAATATTATTTATTGTTACAGGCAATAACAATCACAGTGATAACTAGGAACCAGGGTGACATGATCTTTACACGTACTTTAAATACATTATTTTATAAATATAAATCTGCTCACATGGTTTCTTAGTTGTTTCAGTGTCTACCAACCACAGCCTATTACACGTTTTGTGTAAGATCTACAAAATAAAAGGCTAATGAAAATATGTTTCTTTACATCATAAATTACTTCATATGAAAGTCACCCTTACCCACACACTCAGCTAGGAGATAAAGGAAAAGCCAATTCCATGAAAGTGTTTTCAGCTAAAGAAATTTGGGAATTGTGTGTCTTAATGTCACTTGAAATATTAATTTTTTCATGCTAGTTACTCTCACCTCTTGTAATTTTTCATTACCAATTTTGTTTGTCTTTTTGGTTGTACAATAGTAAAGTATAGTCCATTTTTTATTGATATCCAAAATAAGCACCACCCCTCATTCTAGTTTGGTCTTGTGATTGGTTTGACCCAGATGCTTACGATCTCATGAGTTCTGAGTCCACATCATCCACTTGTCCCTCAACAGTCAAGTCGATCGGAAGACGAGCGATACAGTAAACCCTCGATAACTCGGCACATATGGAGCTTTGGCTTTGCTGAGTTATCTCAAATGCCGAGTTATCGAGGATCTTCCCCCTCCAACAAAAATACCCCTGTACAACAATATAGAATTATCGACGCATATATGTGTACATGTAATTACTAAATGTAAAAAAAGTAACACTTACCAGCACTGCAGGTGAAGAATGAAGCATCATAGTGGGTGACACAGGTCTGGTAGGTGACACAGGCATGGTAGATGATGCATACAGGAAATTGTCATAGAAAACGGGAAATTTTATCATAGAAAATGGGAAATTTTATCATAGAAAACAGGAAATTTTATCATAGATAATGGGAATTTTATCAATGAAAATTTCATAAAAACTTACATTTTGATCATAGAAAATGGGAAATCTTATAGAATATGGGAAATTTCATCATAGAAAACAGGAATCTTCATCTTTTATTCACAGCCAGCATTCCTTATAGATCAAGATAAGTGAGAAATAAGAATCAATGATAATGAAATTCATTATGTGCTAGTTTGTCCTATCATAATGTAATTATTGCTTATCACTTTCCTAAATATTATATCTATTATTTATACATGTATTACTTCAACTATAGTTTCCCTCGGCTGAATATAATACCTAAGTGTAGAGCTGCCCTCTAAAGAGTTAAAATTTTGGCAACAGTATTTGAATACAGTGTTTTAAAATTATACAATGCAATAAAAATATAATTTAAATTCAAATCAAGATTAATCAAGAGTACTAGAAATTATATGCATCATGTGAATGAAAGAAAATTTTCTGAAGGTCCTATATGTTATAAACAAATTGCTTCCAAGTACTATTTACATTAAATAAGTCCCCAGCCTATGCACTCTCACTGCCAGGAGCACCAACGAGGATCCAAGAACAGCGAGCATTAGTGGCCACTTGACGAACAACACGTTTCTTGTCATTCAATACACATTTCAGTCCCCTGATTACCTGTATAGATGAGAGATTTACAAAGCATTTCAAAGGATATTTTCCAATTAATGCTTAAAAAACTTCCTTTTTAAAATTTGTTCTTAATAAAGCAATTCAGTTTACTGCTCTTGACAAGGAACTAACAGTAGGGAAAAGAGTAACAATACTAGGTTGGAGAGCAAAGAGGTAAAATCTATGGTTGGGATACAAGACATGAAAAAGAAAAAACACTGATAAACAAATAAAAACACCAGAAGGAATGAAACTGATGTCCTCCTCTGAAGATGAATGGGAAAGAACAATAATAATTAAAGCAAGTGAAATGAATATTAAGTTACCCAATTAATAAAGCAAGGGGTACAACATCATGTGAACTGTACAGTAAATCAATGGCAGAAACCTGTAAAAAGTGAATCCGTGTAAAAAAAATACATTGGACCTGTTATATGGGGCTAGGCTCTAGGATCTTATTATTTCCCCATTACCGACAAAAGGAAAATTAGATCTTATCAGTTGGCCAATATAGATGTAAACCAATTATATACAAAAGTCCCCATTACTCCAGTTCTTTTCAAAAGATGATTTTTCCTTTAGCTTTCATTGCATTCTACAATAGGTACTTAACTATTGACACCAAACTTGACAGTAAAAAAAAAATCTAAAAACAAAAGTCAAAAGCATTAACTTTACTTTAAAACATTACCACAAAACAAAATCATAGTGAGATCTTTAAGTTTATTCAATAACCAGTCTCCTTGATCATCCACCTCTGAGTTATACACTTTTCCCCCAATCTATCACTTCCCTTTCTCTCAATATGCCCTACCACCCGAGAAAAACTTGATCTACTATCTGACCAATACTGTACATATATGGAGGAGAAGCTATTTGGTAGTGTACTAAATATAAACAATGAGAATAGTATTTCCCACAAGAATTGGATATACCTGTACAGTACTGTACTTACATCTTCTCTATATGGCAGGATTGTCATGGTTGGTAAAGCAGTCAAGGCTTGAAGACACTCCAAAGCTTTCATGCGCACCATCTGAGAAAAAGTATACCTGTACATTACAGTCTTGTGAATAAACAAATACAATATTAATATTTACTTTAACTTCTTATTTGCAACACCACCACCCTAGTAAAGGAGTGCCACAACAGAAAAACCTCCACGCCACCATATCCCGACATATCTCTTTTGCTCTATGAGATACTCCCATTATCCCCTTCCTCACTCTCTCCTTAATGCATTATTCTACCTTTTTCTCTCAGAATATGGGCTGTCTCCCTCTATACAATGCACTTGCTGCAATGTTCATGTGCATCTTCTTTCCTATCTTCTCCACGCTTGCATTCTTCTCACATGTGCACACCAAGTTAATAAGTACATAATCCTCCTACCATCCTAGAGTTAGCCATATGGAATAATTCTTCAATATCCCAATTTATTACAGAAGGTGACTAAAACTGTTGGAATTAGAAATAAAGAATCCATTTCCAGAATAATGGAATCAGCAGCTCTGTAGTTCTCTGAACACTACTGGAAGTTTCAAACATTGATACAATCCAGTCACAGAGAGAATAAGAAGTGGGTGGACTAACATACTGTAATTGATTAGAATGGTGGTGACTGGCAAAGAACGAAAAGTTGGACTCACCCACCTTGTCAGAATATGACTTATTGAGGTGTAAGATTTACCCTAACATTTCTTTTAGTTGTAGTAATTTCAGATGTATGATTAGTTTCATGTAATCATTCTAACCACGAGACTTCAACCTATTTATCAGAGCAGTACTGATTTGTACTAAAAGAAAATAATCACAAATGCCTTGAAGTTCTGCTTCCCATTACAGATGATAAACAAAGTTTCTTAAAAACTTGAATGAATGGTTTCACTTACCATAGGATGATTGACAGTGAGCGGGACCAGAGTAGAGACAAGCATGTTAGTGTGAGGGGCTGCATGGGTGAGGGAATGCTGCAGGAGACTGGACAATGTACACACTGTACTCTCAGTTACTGCAGACTCTCCACTGGTAATCCCCTGAAGCAGCACTGGCAATAACTGCCAATGATATTAAAGATTCATATATAGTACAGTACTTCATTCAGAAATGTAAACAAAGGTACAGGCATAGCAATTCACATTTGTTGACATTGTCATGGGTTGCGTTAGTCTTACCCACGCAACCAACTCCAAAATTTGTTTTACTAGAGATACGGCACCCCGCGAGCGAGCCATGACTACGACATATTTTTTCCATTAGTGGAATGTTAGCCAGCTTACAGGGGGAGGCCAGTGAGACAGTGTTGTACTGTTCATCACCTCACACCCCAAAACCACATTTTGAGTAGTATCCCCTAGGCCATGGGTTAATTAAGACGTCCACCTTCTCCCTCCTGAAGGGAACGGGACACCACACAGAGTCCTCCACCCCATCCTGTGACCGTCAGTGACACGAAACTAAATGTGCTAACCTATGTTGTTATCCCCGTGGAAATAACACGTGTGGATGCCTGGTTGCGACAAGAGCAATCCAGGCTGGCCTATCCAACCTACAGTAAATGGTTAATCAATTCACGCTTACAGAGTTCTCCTGCGCGACACCCGTCCACAGTGACTGTGATCGACACGAGATTAAATGTGTTAACCTAGGTTTGTATTCCCCGTGGAAAAATCACATATGGAAACCTGGTTGCGACAAAAGCAATCCAGGCTGCCCTATTGCACCTAAGTAGTTAATCAAGTCACGCTTACCAGTTCTCCTTGCAGCGACAACCGTCTACAGTGACTTTCAGTGACGCGAGACTAAGTGTGGTAACCCAAGAGTACCTTTTTGTTGTTATTCCCCGTGGAAAGAAGTTCTTGTGAGGAAGCCTGGTTGCAACAAGAGCAATCCAGGCTGGCAGTAAATGTACCACTAGAGTCATACCCATAGTAGAGTAATCACATGTGTCCCCAAATTGGAAATTCCCTCTTTTAGAAGATTAATTTTATTACAACGTGAACGTGAGTGACTCACATATCCATGCAAATTGTAAATCATTGTATGGAAGCTTGCCAAATAAATGTAAGTGCAATTATCTGCCCGTATCTGTGATCCTATCTTATTATTACTAAAGGTAATGACTGATTGGTTATGACAAAGTATAACCAATAACTTAGATGGATGTTGGAAATTTATGGAACTCATTAAATCATCATTTATCAAGTATAAATCATGGAATGTCGGGTGGTGGAGTGAAAATCTAAGTAGATAAACCATAATCTCCTGTAAGTAATCAGTGTCAAGGTATCAAACTCTACGGTAAGAAATATAAGAAACAATAATAATCTTAATATAATCCACACTTACAGTAGACCATTACAAAGAAAATCCATGACAGATATCATCAATGTTTTACTGCCATTTGCCAATTTTCCTTATACCCTACACCACCAATCATATCTACATAACATTTGCATTAAGAATGAGGTGTGATAATTAATGTACAGTGTTCCCCACAAATAACCTGGTGACCAATTCACTCATTAATTACTTAATACAGTACTATAATATAACCTGGTGACCCATTCACTCATTAGTTACTTAATACAGTACTATGATGTAACCTGGAGACCCATTCACTCATTAATTACTTAATACAGTACTATAATATAACCTAAGTGGGGTATCAGACAGTCATCCACACATCCACTCTCTCTATGATACATTACCTTCTTGATGTGATTATTAAGAACGAGATGTGGTAATGAAGGCATCAGTGATGACAGTGCCAGCAAGGCATTGTGCTTTGTATTGCCCTCACTGCTGTGGAACATATCTACCAGAGGTCCTACCATAATTTCAAAATATCTCTGTTTATATAGCAATCTGAAAAGGAAAATGAAGAAACAGTAAACATATACTGTAAGTATGTAAATTACAATATGCTCGTATTTTATTATTAAAATACTTTGCAACCCAAAAACTTAAATTTTTTTTTAACATTTCTTCCACTTGGTTATATAAAATACCCTGTACTGTCATTTCTTAATTGAACTCCAAACAACAATGAAAATTAACTATGTGTGAGAGACGCCAGGCAGCTAAACTTGCTTCCCAGGGTACCTAAGTCATCCAACCTTATACAATATACACAGGGCAATATCAGCAGATTCACAATGCTAAAACTTACTGACTTAGCATAAATTTCAGATGAATGAATACCATATTAATGAGGGGTCAGCGTAAAAAGTTAAATACTGTACCTTATATTTGCAAAAGTCTCTGGTCTCAGGGCATACTGGTGTTCCCTTAGAATAACTTCAAAGCTATGAGCAGCATCTAATCCAATGCCTGAGTCACTTAGTAAATTCTGCATCTGTGGAAAAATAAGATAAATGTAATTTACAAGACAGACATCACAACCCAACTTTATATCCTTGTTTGAGTTATGATTACAAACAATCAATTAACAAATAAAATAATTCATCACATTATATATTTTTTTCAATTAAAGATTGAATATGTAAGTATCAACAGCAATAAATGTGTTGATACCTTTGTTGTCCACACGTCCTGGTCCTGAGCACCACGCACAACTAACGCCTTACACACCCATGTTAGTGTAAGAAGTGCAGCCTTCTGCTTCTCCACTTGATTAGTTAAATTTAATAGCTTGAACAGTTCTTCTCTACTTTCACTTAATGCTTGAGTGAGGGACGGACCTGAAATAGACAAAGTAGAGCATAAATGAACTTTCAGTCAGATATAAATTTGTCAACTGCATAATCTACGGTATAATAAAACATTCCTCAAGAAATTTTTCATATGTAGTTAGAAAGATAACAGTAGATGCTTGACTTTTGGTAAATTCTTTTACTCAGGTAGGTGACTCTTGCACAGACTATTTTAAATGCTGTCACCACTGCACATCCCCCCACTAAAACAAACTCATCATCTCTACACATTTCTATTGAGGTTTAATTTTTATGAAATATGGTACAGTGTAGTACCATACAGTACAATACCATACAGTACAATACCATACAGTACAATACCATACAGTACAGCACAGTACCATACAGTAAAGTACAGTACAGTACCATACAGTACAGTACAGTACCATACAGTATAGTACAGTACCATACAGTACAGTACCATACAGTACAGTACCATACAGTACAGTACCATACAGTACAGTACCATACAGTACAGTATAGTACCATACAGTACAGTACCATACAGTACAGTACAGTACAGTAGAACGTCGATTTAAATTTATTAAATTTAAGATTATTGATTTAAAGCGACACCCTGCTCTTTCAATAAACCGTTAATTATTATTTTTATTATTATTTATTATTATTACATTGTACAGTACAGTACAATTCTGAAAGAACCAAGAAAAACAATCCTTTTTCGTCTTACCTGTTGGAATCTTATTAATAATTGCACCATGGAGGATGGCTGAAGTCTCTCTTATTTCTAAGTCTACATGACACAAACTTAATCGTCTCAGCTTCCTCAGCAGATGTTGTAAACCATCAGTTTCGGGCAGCTGACGTGCACCCAACACTACACCTTCAATCATATAACTCTGAAACAGATTGTTTATTCTTAACACAATCCTCACAGGGCAAATTTTAGCTGCATAAATCAGACATATAGACTCCTGCTGATTAAGTGAAAAGTAAAATACTGTAACGGTAACTTACATTTTCAAAATGAGCAGAGGTTTTTAAAAATTTTCCTTTAATTTCAATGGTGTTTTTAGGAGAAACAGAAGAAAAATTTTAGAAAACTAAAGGGATACAAAACATACATTCTGTAAAGATTTGAAATTTATAATTATACAGTATTCCGATACTAAAAATGAAGCAATAAAAACATCGAACTTTAATTCCTCGACTCAACACTAACCATCAGTTCCTGAAACCTTAAAAGGTAAGCACCCTGGCTTAATACACCAGCTGCTTTAACTAACCTGGTATAAAATTGACATATTCACAATATATGCTGTACAGTGATTCTTTCTTCTCTATAAATACATGAAATTAAATCTATGATTCATTGTATTATTCTGATAAAAATAATTTGACCCACGAGACTGAACGATATATATATATATATATATATATATATATATATATATATATATATATATATATATATATATATATATATATATATATATATATATATATATATATATATATATATATATATATATATATATAAATATATATATATATATATATATATATATATATATATATATATATATATATATATATATATATATATATATATATATATATATATATATATATATAAAGGGGGGTGGAACTGGTTGTGCATTAAATCCTGGAGCAGGAGAGCTCCTATAATTAACAAGAGTTAGTGAGGGAAAGTTTAGCAGTTGTACTGTAGTGTCATTAAAACTGATGATCACTCTGCCTTGCCCAAACCCAGACTAGCTAACCCTTTTGATGTGAAGCTTGCCACTCAAAAAAGCTTATGTAACACTGGTGTCTAGTTGAAGAGATAGTGAATAATATGTATAATATTACCATGAGTGGTGCTTGTGGATGGCTTTCATCTGCAATGCTGGATATCAAATTTCTTGTTTCTGGAAGTGTGACGACAAGATCACCAAAAACTCCTTCAACTCTCTCTGCCTCATCCACTGTGACCAGGGTTAAAAGAGACTGTACCAAAGGCTGTGGTTCACTGCATGAAAATATGACAAAGAAGAATCTTCAGTCACTGCAAAATAAATACATACAGTATACAGTCTTAACAAAATCATCATTCACTAATCCCCTCCACTTATCCAGGATGTAAATGTAGCTGCTGCCATTTGTTTGTAAAGTACAGAACTGTTGGCTGCCAGGTATCATCACCACTACCACCACTGTTTCCAGTGTTCACAAATTGAATTCACTAGTTTCATTTATTAACACTTGGGAGGGGAACTCAGATTACCAGTAAGTGTCTTCAGGAACATATGGTACCGGTAATTATTCCTATACAGAGGGTCCCCGACTTACGAACGCCCGCTGATATGAACGGCGTTAATCTTGAAATTTCCAGTACAGTATTTTATTTACCTTATGAATTAATTTTTACTTTCATTGACTGTATTTTTTCATTCCATTTCTTCTTTTCTCTTAAATTAAGTGATTTTAAATAAATGTATGTAAGGACTTAGGTTATGATATAGTGGGATTTTAAACATTGTTCTGTAAGAATAGTATGCAACTAACATGTGTTCCGACTTACGTGCATTTCCAACTTAAGAACGTTCCTCGGGAACGGAACCCGTTCATAACCCGGGGACCCACTGTATACAGTAATTAAGCAATCTGTTAATACTATTTCCTAAAATACAGGGCTGTACAGAAACATAAACCATGCATCATTGTACAGCACCTGGGTCTACTGTTGTTGAATATTTATTTGAAAATGCAAAGCACATTTTTTATTTTTCTATCTAATTTACGATGTACAGTTGATCAAAAAACTATCCTTACAAAATTATAAGAACACAACGGACAAAAGATTTTGACAACTCTACCGAGACAACGAGAGCAGTAGTGTTCAATCTGAAATTCACTGATCCCCCCCCCCCCCAAGTACAGACAGTTTTGATCAACTGTACATTACTTTTCATAACTATACCTACACATATGAGCTATCTAGAATAACAAAACAAATGTGTGAAGACTAGTTAGTTTGAACAATATGTTTTCTCAATTGCTCACAATCCTGGGGAATTTTTTGTTGTTGTTTGATTTTATTCACTTTAACTTTTATATTCAACAGGCATAAAATACTGTATACTGTACAGTGGGAAATACCATGTGGGTAATCATATACAGTACATATTCAGTTTTTAACCACAATCACCAAAGGAGACACCATAAAGCAGTATTATGTACAGTACCTAAAAAAGTATCGGTGCATAGCACTCTGTGTGAAACAATAATAATAATAATGGTTGCCCCTCGTGTAACAAGGATGGCCGGCCCAAGGGCCACCTTGGCGTGAATTTGTTTAAGGTGTAGAAGCTGTTGCCAACACAACAACCACACCCTAAGTTAACGACCTGCATGGCCCAGTGTCAAGAAATAGTCCGAGAAGACTGGACAACTCGCTAACTGCACTGGCTGACCATTACCCCAAAATACGATCCGCAAATCTATTAACATCCAGGATCCCAATTACTGCTGCTTAGACAGAGGCAAATGGCATAAAGAAACTTGCCATAGTTTCACCCTGCCCAGGGATCGAACCCGGGTCCACTCGCTTGCGAGGTGAGAATGCTGACCATTACACCACAGGTCGCCATGTGAAACAATACGAGACCACGGACAATAGGTTTTGGGATATGCGTGTTATCTCCTTATACTGTGATAGTAATCACTTATCCGATTAATTTGTTCCTATATGCCAACTCAATCCCCGTTTTGGATACTGAATGGCATACCAACCCTCCCGAGACATCACGAGTTGTATGTATAATTTCGGAAGTCATCGGACCCACCCTGTTAGATATTTTTTTTAGCTACTGTACAACTATGCCTCAGTTATCTGTATTCCCAGTGGAGACAACTACAATTACATTATGTTGAAGGACAAGTAAAACATAACTTACCTTAAGTTGGCCACTAATATCCTACATATACTGGAGAGACACTGAAGAATTGGGACCGGCTTGGTCACATGTGGACTAAGGATGGTGGACACAGAAAGACAGACTACCTTCATTACACCACTCCATTCCTCTAATACATAACTCTTGCATTCAGAGTCTGTCACAGCATTCCTCAAAATCTGTGTAAAATATATTTAATAAATAATTGAAAAGATTCTAAGTGCAGAGTGCCTAAAAGGACTTCATGAGGTAGTGTTTGTTCCAAATGTTTCTTACAGAGGTGAAAGTCATATTTTTCAGAGGTGTTACTGATCAAGACTGGTTGTTTGGAGAAGTAACAAAGTAAAGAATTAAAACATAAGAAAGTTTAAAGGTCTTACTACAATTAATAGTTGGATAATTTGAAATTTTTCAGGAGGTAATGGATGGCAGAAAAAAAAGTGATTACAGTCTATGTATTTTAATACATATGTTATAATACATAATTATCCTAAACAACATAAAATAATTTAAATACATTATGGGTATTGTATCTGAATAACAAACAAAGTGGAAGGTTATGTAAAAGCAAGAAGTTTGTTTCCTTGTTTTCATTTATAAATTAAGAAAAAACTGTTAGTCTTCTTTGGTATGTTTGATGTAATATTGTCATTTTCTGATATGACTCAATTAAACAGAAAAGGAATTGTCCAAGTCAAAAGTTTGTTTGTCTTGTGACCCCAACATCATAACACTCAGCTCCAATGAACTGTCAGAGAAAGTTAACCTTTAATAATGGAAGTGCTGGGAACCCTTGACCTAAAGTCTCGCACCAGCAGCTAGTATACTAATGAAATTGCTTTGATTCACATGAAAGGAATACAGTACATCACAATTGGAAGGGAAGACACTGTCATCTCTAGCTGCAACACAGTAACAATCACCTTTCTGACACAGGAGAGATGTTGACAACACTGCTCAGATGACAATGATGAAAAGTCTTCAGCTCGCCTCCAGACAACAGGCAACACACGGGAAGTAAGTAATCTTCCTGCAGTGAGGATGGCAAGTGTCTCTAATATCCGGCTGTTACTGACACCTGAATTGACTGAATGACCTGTTGGAAATAATAAATAATGGTAAATCAGTAAGTTTATAGTCCACAATTATGAAGACAAAAATTAAGATTCTAATTTCTCTTTATAACAAGTGGCCATTCATTAAAAGCATCTAGAGAAGGCATCATGTAATGAAATCAAGAGACCAAGAATATGAAAAGGAGTTTGTAGTTTATACTTGATACCAGTTAGAGATAAACACTGCTGCTCAACCATCCTTCAACAATCAGTCACTTTCAAAAAATGAGAGGAAGTATCTGAGTAAAGGGCTCATTAAGATGATTTCTTTACTGAATTGCTCACTTTAGTGGCTCATACTAATGGAGAATCTTTTAAGGGAGCCTTTCCTCATAGAGTGAGTTTTCCAATCATATATATATATATATATATATATATACAGTAGTGTATATGCTGATAACCACAAGGAAACAAGAAAAGGCGAAGTTCCCAAGCGCTTTCATGTAATTCACATCTTCAGGGGTACTCACCCCTGAACATGTGAATTACATGAAAGCGCTTGGAAACTCCGTGTTTTCTTGTATCCTTGTGGATATCAGCATATACTTGGATCATGCGCACCTACAGTGATTTACTTGCATACATATACGGTATGCAGCATACTGTATATATATATGTATATATATATGTATATATATATATATATATATATATATATATATATATATATATATATATATATATATATATATATATATATATATATATATATATATATATATATATATATATATATATATGCTAGTACTGTATTATCAAACATGAATATTTTAGAGAAATACTTATCACCAAAGGTTATTTTCAATCACTCGGTGGCAAATGTGAACCTGGGAGATGTTCCCTGTTCCTACCACCCAGACAATAAACTTTGTTGTTGCAACCAGTTCACCATCACTGTTTTTAAACCTGTTTTTCCCTAGTCCACAGTACTGCAGATACTTCTGACACAGTGTAGTGACCTTACCTTGTTCCATTTCTATGAGAAGTTTTGGCAATATGTGGTCACTGACAGCTAAGGGTTGTATCTTCCCAAGTGCAACAAAACACTGGATTATTCCATCTCTGAAACAAAATACAGTAATATTAAGAAGTTTTAAGATTACATCAGATTAAATTGAATAGATAAAAATTATAGTTAGGTACTAATCTACAAGTATTGTATCAATATGAAGACCATTAGAACTTAAAGAGCTGTTCTGAGTTAAAGAATTTGTTAACAAGGAGGAATAACACTGACCCAGAGAGTGAGAGAGTTACCAGGCTCCAGGTAATTACAGTACTGTTAAATGATTACAAGTTGAGATCAATTAGAGGAGGAGTAACAACAAATCCACCTCCCAGAACAAGCTACAATATTACAGAGTTGAAGGAGACTTCATACTTTTGGGAGTTATAGACAAGAGGAAACTTTGAAACTATTCAAATCTCCTCACACACCTCAACACCCTCTTTGTCACATTCACAATATTGTACATATTTTAGACATCTCTCGCCATCATGGTACCACTGGCTCAGGTACTGTTAGCATTAAACTGGCAGCTACATCAATATCATAGAAATATAGAAACATACATCATGGGCAGATGAACAAAGAGATCTGTAAGAATTTTTAGGAAATATAGTTTTTAAGTCAGTAAATGCGTTGTGAAATTCAAGCTTTTATCTTAAGTATGCCAGAGGGTTAACCCCTTGTATACAAGGTCACTCCAATGGCGAATAAAACTGTGTTAGCCAAATAAAATATTAAAAGCGGCTTCCCCAGTGAAGAAGTTAAAATGAGTCTGAATGGTAAAGAAGAATTGTATACAGTAAGTCCTTTCTTAACGTCGGGGTTACGTTCCTTAACACACGACGTTATACGAAACAATGTTAAACGGATCAATTTTCCCCATAAGAAATAGATAAAATACGGGAGTTATGTTCCTGAGCCTCCCTTTGCCCCAAGAAATACGTTACATATACAGAAAATCATTGCCATTTCTAAAGATGTAATGTATGCATATACAATTCCTAAGTTTGTATTGGTACTCACCGATGGGCGGAGGTGGTAGAGTGAGTGTGTGATGGGGAGGAGGGCGGAGGAGGAGGGTGGCGAGTCACTGAGTCCCAGCAGGTGGCTCCTCCTCCCTCTCAAAACGGTTTAAAACCTCCATTTTCGTAGCAAGGCTAATGGTTTTACATTGTTTCTTCACAACACAAGCATCAGTAGCACTTGATGGGTGCTTGGAAGCCATTTCGAATGGTTACAGTACAGTATTAAGAGCAAAAACACTTAAACACACATGAATGCTGTGGAAGCCGAACAAAGACTGGCGTCGCTTGGGGACACTGTGATGTTCCACGCTGAGAGAGGGCGATGAGTCATAAAAAGTAGTCCATGACGACGCAAAACGACATTGTACCGAGTCATCGGGACGTTAAACGAATTTTTGGTATCTAAAGATTAGCGACGTAGTACTGAAACAACGTTAAGTGGGCCGTCGTTAGGCGAGAACTTACTGTATATCGATGAAAGACTGTGAAGATGGAAGTCTCACTTACAAGCCAACTTAATAATTAAAAAAAAAAGTACTTCAACCACATAAAACATTTGAGTCACTGTGTTTCACTATAGGCTAAATGTATCTATTTTAGTGTTTTGTTAGGTTCTGCTTTAGTGTACAATCTCACTAGTTGGGAGTAAAGGTTGGCTGACAAAACACGAGATATTCGCATGATACAAAGAAACAGAAAAATATATATTTAAAGAGAAAACGAGTAAGCAAGTTGCCATATAGGGTAACTTATACATAAACAGTATGATCCAAGTGTGGTTCAAGAACAAATACCGTTGAGTTGGGCTATATTCAGTTGCCTACCTTAATGAATCGTTCTTTGCTGTGAGGAGAAGCTTAGTTAAGGACTGAGCAACTGAACTGAGGTAAGAAGAGTGGAATGCTGGTAAGGCAGCAGTGAGAGCTAATACTGTAGCTTCCTGAACTGAGGGTATGTCACTTGTCAGTCCAAGGGAGAATACACCACAGCAAGCAGCCTCATGTTTCCCTATACTGCCAGTCTCTGAAAAAAATAAACACTATTACAGTGATATCTCCGTTAGCCGAAACAATTGGTACAGAGACTTCCGGGAATAAGAGATTTCCGGGTAACGAGACGACTCTCTCAAAGCCGGAAAAAAATCCCTTATCCCCGGAATTTTCCTGGTAACGGAAAAATTTTCTCGGAAGTTCCAGAAATTGCCCATTACATTATCTTTCGAACTTGGAAAAAACTCCCCCATCCCCGGAATTTTCCAAGTATCGTGAAAAATTTCTCGGAATTTTCTGAAAAATCTTTCCCAAAGCCAGAATTTTCCAGAAAATTTTGGTTTTGGGAATGATTTTCCGAGAAAATTTCAATTCCGGCTATCGGAGAGTCCTGGGTTTGAGGGATTCCGGCTAACGGAGATATTACTGTACTAAAAATTAATCCAAAATTAGATACAGACATACAAAAGCAAACATTCCTTCATACAACTTCTCTCCTACAAAGATATCTTATACATTATTCCATACAGTATTTTTTGCTTCCTTACTTCTCATTCTTTCCCCAGATAAATTTGTATTTTTTACCTACTGAAGGCTTCATCATGTTTTTCATTGGCCCGTTCATTCATTATGGTGTTAACAAGTGAGCAAATCTACTTATAGAACATACAAATAAAAATTACAATGGATGACTGCCTGAAGTGAGGGAGACAAATAACAGATGCAGCATACAAAGAGAAGATATAATACTGTACCTGTTTTTAAGTCAGGAAATTTTGATCCACTATTCAAGAACTTCCCAAGTATTATAATGGTATTCTTCTTTGCTATGGCCTCAGTTCTTGTGCCAAACTGTTCAGTAAGGACGGGCACCACCTAAAAACAAAAACAATTATAATAAAAAAAATTACACTTAAATAAAATATTTGTCAATTGTATAGTATTTACACAAATTTTTAAACTAGAGTAAGAACCAGTGCCTACGACGGTCTGTGGACTCTCTTCCAGACATTATGTATTAAAGAACAAGTTGAGCCTCAATAATCCAGGGGCATGGGACCTTGCCCATTCTCAGGCACACCCAGGTAAATGAGAAAGTTTTTTAAATGCTAGAATACTGATTTTACACCTCCACTTTACCATAAATAGGCTGGGGTAAACCTCCCTTCCTAACCAGTAGCTTTGTATGTGTTGCTCATAGAAGAAAAAGTAACTACTTTATACAAAATTTTCATACAACATCAAAACTACACCAACACAAAATTAATACACATTCCAAACCACAGTGACGTGAAAGTACAATTTACCGTTTCACAAATTGTTTGAGCAGGAACTTGAGCAGCAACAACAAGGGCAAGAAGAATATGAGCACTTGGAAACATGAGACGTTGTTCTGGTGCGGTGAGGTGGCCCATACATTCTGTAAATGCAAAAAGAGTACAGTACAGTACTGTATTTAAATCCATGCAAGTCACAAAGTTAAAAAATATATATCTTCTTCATTTTAGCCATTAACACATATATCTAAATATGGCTTACCCATTAAGGCAGACTTGGTAAGCGTATTTGTGGCATCATGGGCGGCTTGTGATAATATTCCCCGTTGCAGAGTCATAACAATAGCAGAGAGGGTTGAGAGAGCTGCTGCCTCCATCTCACTACTCGCACCCTCAACAATTTCCCTTCTGATGCTGGCCCACAGTGACAGCACGTGGGGACTAATGTCTTCAGCTGAGTACACTTCACAGCATGCAACCTGTGGAAAACATTTTGATATCCAAATAGTTCAAGACACTCAAACAAGAGATTCAAAATGAACAATTCCGAAGATCATTATTTTCTACATGTGAAAATTTTCAAACTTTTCCCGACTTTAAAAACATAAAAGTGGTGAAAAAATATATACCCTCTGTCAATCAATTAATGCAAAGTCAATGACATGGAAAGAAATATTTGCAGAATATTATACCTAAACAATGAGATTACTCCATAACAGTACAACAGTATACATCAAGTAGGTACTGCAATCTCTTAAGTGCTGTAGTACTTGCTTTCATACTACAGTAATACAGGGACTTTACTTGGCATGTAAACACAGTACCTAAAAATCTCTCTAATTAACCTGCTGGATGCTACAACAGATTTCAAAGGAGTTCCACAAAAGGCTTCCATTCTCCACCCTGAAAGATTTTTTTTTAGCATTCACTTTATAAAAAAGATGACAACACACATAGGCAATATTTTACAGTTGTAGCACAGTACAGTACTACCAGACATGGCAGCTTGACTTTTATTTTTAATTTCCACCTCTTATCAGCTTACTAGCAATTCAGGTGTTAGTCTGTTCTCTCTATAACCTTCAGTGTCTAGTGTTAGCACAGGAGGAAATTGGAGTACCTGGATAAAATCAACGATGTTTGGATGTGTCACACTGTATTACACCCTTCTCATATCCAACCAGGGATTAAACCCATGACAAAGTAGGGCAAGCATGGTTCTGCTGCTGGTGTAGTGTGTAATTAACTATTATTTTACCACCAATTCACATTACACAAAGTCTTATATGTGACCATTAAATACTCAAGACTCTAGTTCTCCCAAGAGGAAGAGACTCACTAACAATACAAAGGGTCCATTGTTATATGTTTATACTGTACTGGTAAGCTATGGTAAGATCAAACCCAGTTACACTATCAAGTCAAGGCCCTGAACTAACTATTATTCCTGCCCGGAGAGTATTATGCAATACATTTATGAAGAACATCATGTAGGATTCTACATACAGCATTTATAATGCATTTTAATTCTAATCTAAGTATGACAACAAATAATCAACATCATGTGGGCAGCAGGTATGGTAAATTAAAATACAGGTACTAGGCTTTTAGCAACACTATACAAGGATTATAAATACTATTATTATTCAAAGCTCCTCACCATGGTATGCAAAGAGTCCAGCTTAGCAGAAGTAAGATCTGAGTCCAGCTTCTCTTGGAGCAAAGGAATGCAGTAGGGAGCAAACTGTGGTGTGGCGGCTAAGGCACCCCTGAGACCCAGCACCAGATCTTCTGATGAGATGCCATATGGATCATCTGCTGGCTGATAAAGTAATAATGATTGTCAGAATATGGAAAACCATATCCTCAGCATAGGGACTGAGGATATTGATGAAGTTATGTTATCTTAAGTTCAGTACTAAACATCCTGGCATATGCGCACTATATTATCTTCACTGTTGTATCATATACTGTACATAGGAATGGATACGATTGATTAACTTGAAAACGTATAATAAAGAGAGGCTATGGTTGGAGGTATCCACCACCCTCCACACACACATGCAAACACGTAAAATGCTGAAAAGTACGTGCAGTATGTGATCTTTTCTAAAACAACATGCAAAATGAGCAACATTTTCAAAATACTGAATGTCAGGATTCGTGCAGATTCTATGAAAGAAATTATTCATCTACAGTATTTGCTAAACTCTAAAGCTCCCTCTATTATCGCCATTTCTCACTTTACCCACTATTCTCACTTCATCCCAGCCTTATGAGACCTAAGAATTAGTTCACCAATTATCAATCTATTAATTTCGATATCCTGATTTCCGTTATAAATACAGACATGCCGAGACCAGTTTTCAGGAAAATTCTGTATGGGGCGAGTGATATAATTTTTTTCTTCAAGAATACAGGGTATTTTAAATCAAGCTCCTTAATCACATACAGTACCAGTATTCATTAAGATAATACAGTATCACTTACCGGAACAAAGTCTATCGGGAAATATGCAGCCACAACCTCGAAAAGGTCTTCGGTGAAAGGACCAAGGGGAAAGTTCTTGACAATAATTGGAACTAACGTAAAAAGTAAAACCAAATTTCTAGGGTCCTTTTCTCCATCCATTGCTGTAACAAACCCCAGAACAAAGTCTTGTCCCATTTCTCGTATATCTGCAGGAAAGCAAAAGTAAAAAAAAATTCAATTACAATAGTTAAGTACTGTATACCCATAGTGCACCATCTTTAAAAACAAAAAAATCATACACCTATAGAATGTATGACTGCAATACCGTACTTTATTAAACACTAAGAAAGAAACGCTACAATATTCGTGAAAATAAATCCTTCAAATCAAGTGTTTCCTTTACTAGGAATTGATTTATGCATCCTGTCACTCAAAAGCACATTAATGTACACACAAACACCCAAATAAACACACAAATTATGTTTGGAAGTATTATTTAAATTTATAATCTATAAAACACTTACCTTCCAACTTGTAAACCAAACAATATTTGAGTAGGGTGTAAATATTTCGCCTGTCTGACATGATTTGCGACTGACAAGGGACCTCCCGGAATAATCCTTGCACAAGACTGGTAACATCTTTTCTATTGATGTGTTTTTGTTTAACCTGTAAACACATACAATATGTAATTCTGTACCTCAAAGGTTTCCTCGATTTAATATTTGCCATTCTGAGGAGATAATACTTGAAACTATTTTGCAAGTACTGTACACTGGCATAAAACTTCAACAACTGTATAGGAGTCCAAGTACAGTACTGTACATTGGCATAAGAGTTCAACAACTGTACAAGAATCCAAATACAGTACAGTACTGTATCAGGTACCCAACTGAATGGATTCTTAAGAATGACTACTTGTCAGATTCTGTATTTGTTAATATTTCATGTCTTATTGGCTCCCAAGAACTTTTCACAGAAGCTAATTCACCTACAATAACTCAACTTTTTATTACAAAGAAAAATATATACTGTATACTGTACTACCTATATAAACATACAATATAAAGTAGAAATTATGTGTTTTCATAGCACACAAGAGAGGATTTGAATTTAACTAACAATCCCTTACTTTTCAAATAATGTATCGTATTTACAATGTAGCATTAAAACACAATACTGTACAAATAAAAAGATTGCCTTTAGTCACAATTGCAGTATTAAAGTGGGCAAAGACCTTTTATTACCAGACTATAATTTGTTCATCATGCAAAGGTATAATAAGCCCCTGTTGCACTCTCTCCTGCTACCTGTAATTGGTTGGCCACCACCACCCATGAATGTCATGATCTCAATAGTGTACCATTTCAACATCAGTTTTCAATCTGGTGGGAATACTATACAGTAGAAAGTTGATTAAAAGCAATTCAATTTAAGAATATTGACTTAAAGTGACACCCACAATTAAAGACAATGTTTTAATTTACCGTAAAGTGAATCTTTCCTATTTTGCACTTGTCAATCTGGTGCATCATATTTTAAAATTCACGCCTAATGTTTCTCTGGGCACGCTACACCATCCTCAGGGCAAAGCTGTACTGTACATGTACTCAAAATAATGTACTAAATGATTACTAAATTTTTTGTCTAGTGCAAACTATAGCATGATCACCCGTATATTTAAATTAATCACTAAACTATAGCATGATTATATTCAAATTAATCACTATCTTATAAGAATTCCAGCAATGTATATTATATTCTCCCTGGTCACTTCTGTGACATTTAAAAAAAAAAAAAATCTAAAGGATATAAATAAACAAATAAATACTTCACTAGACCTTTGGCGCAACTGTCAAACATGTCACCTCCCCTTCCTCCCTCTCCCCAGCCAGGGTTTGGTGGTTTTAGGCTTCCAGTTTTTATCTTATATAATATCACACACTAAAGTCAGAATATAATTTGCATTGCTAGAATCCTTGCAAGACAACGAATAATTTGAATATAAACGTGATATATTTTGCGCAAGAGATAAAAAATTTTGCCCCCTGTAATAAAATTAATTAGAACATGTCAGTTCAGTGACATTTTATAAGAGAAAAACTTAAAGTCACTCCTAAGAACAGATAAATAAATAAGCACTAGCGCTTAGCATCAACTGTCAAACATATCACCTCACCTCTCCCCCCCTCAGCTGATCGCCAGTAAACAGACCATCTCACGTCCCATAATTATAGCTGTGTTGATTTATGAGTGTTTGTTTTAACATAATACTACAAAAATCAATGTTTTGTTTATTCTAGGAGATGGGCTGAGGTGCATCTGGGTAGACTCAGTCTTTTTAGTATTTTGTGTTTCTCTCAAGTACCAAACTAAATTATTTCATTGAAACACTTCGATTTAGTGCGAATTCGGTTTAAAGCGACCTCTCTTGGAACGTATCTTGTGTTATATCGACGTTCTACTGTACATAGATGTACAGTAATTATTAATAGGCGCATAAAGGAAAGTACAGGTATCTCCGTAAAAAAATTGAACAGATAAAACAAAAGGGAGAAAGTATAAAAGAATGATTATGAAAGTGTGAAAAAAAGAAAGAAGATAATACAGAACAGACTACCCCCTAAAAAAAAATCAACCTTATATTAACATAAATGGAGCTTAAAACAACCAAATTGCCTTGTCTATCATACTTACCAAGGCAATATTGGCATAGATGACATTGGGTATAACAGAATGATGATCCTTCAGACGATCTAAGAAGAAGGCAGTCAAGAATAGGAGTTCCTGTGAGCTTAACTTGTCACACGGCAAGGAATGAAGAAGATCAGCTAGAAATCGGGTTCCAGCGCCTCTCTCACTTGGGTTGGCGTGTGTCAGACTTGGGCCCAAAGCGTCCACAACGTGACATACAGATAAGTCGCCAGTGTATAATTCTAAAATAAAATATAAAGTACAGTACAGAAAATGACATAAGTAATAAAAAAGGGATATATCTTCCAGTTTTGTGGCCAATGTTTCACTAGGCAACCCAGGAACTATAGCTATGAATCCAGGGTTGTAACTTCTAAATTAGTTACACTTCCTTATAATCACCAAGTCCCCAAAAATGATCTTTAAAAGCAAAAATTCACCATTTACAGTCCAGTACAAAGCAATGAGTCATGGGTATTTAAAGAAAGGTCAGTCACAGGCTTGTATTCAGGATCAGTCCATCATTCGGTCACTGGAAAGCATTTGCTAACAGATGAACAAATATGGTGTTGTCAAGAAGACCCCAGCCACAGAGCTTAAGGCGTTTATTGTAAGGCAGTTTAAGATGCACGGAATAACTAACACATTAGCTTTCCCGTACTGTCATTAAAAAATACAACATTGTACTGCATCTTGGGAACAATTGTTATACAACACAGTCTTCAAAAAACAATAAAATTAGGAGAACTGTTATTTGGACACAATACAGAAAGAAATAGTCAAGAAAATATATAGAAAATTATGGAAAGAAAGACAAAAAAGGAAAAAAGGTAAATCAGTCAACAATAAATAATAATAACATAAAAAATCGGGCCCGTTGTAAAGGAAATTTCTCCAGGACTCTGGAACCACACGAAACGACTAGAGCAGCTGTACGCTTCTTCTCTCGCGGCTATGTGTTCACATGTTTTTTCACGAAATGACGAAATACAACGAATTTCAGGCTCATTTAAATCTTAAATTTTGCACTTACAGAACTGTAATCAACTTGTTCACCCTTATTTAAAGTATCTTATGAGTAATGATATTAAAGTTGTAATCATATTTGAGTAATTATCAATACTGTTACACAAAAGTCACCACTTAAAAATGGGCGGAGCCAAAACTGGTTTCAACTTGGCGCAATCCTTTTCAATTCTTTCACGCCATACGCTTTGTTTTAGGTCCTATCCAATATACTACCATATATAGAATTATTTTTACTATTATATCACAGTTTTTTATGACCATAAATGCCCAAAACTCTTCCATATTAATCAAAATATTCTCCGTAAGCGGCCATGATCCGCATGTTTTTAGTGGGAGAAATCGCTGATTGGTTGTTAGCTATTTGGGCCGCTTTGACGCTGCACAAGGCTAACGCCTGATTGAGGTTTTAGCTTTTCCCTCTGAACGTGTCATGCGCACAACTCAAAAGCAGCATTTGAGCATACAGAATAGCTAATGCGTTAGCTATTCCATGCATAAAAAACGCCTTACAATAAACGCCTTTAATTACGGGATAAACAGACTGGCAGTAGTCACGTGTCAACCAGCATACCAAAGGTCATCCCATTGACCAAACTCAGCCTTATCCTTCAACCCCTCTTGATCCAAGTGAAAATGAAAGACAACAAAAAGTTAGGTAAATTTGTAGTATCACACCAGTCTTTATTTCCATATTAAAAATGTGTATCTCGTAATGCTTACACAATTCTAAGACATTTTTCTTCTATAATATTTTCACCGGAAACTAAGGATAACCGAGATATTCATTTTTCAAGATTATTATTTTTGCTCAGTCACAAGTGTTGCCATGATTTGTTTACTTATGGCAGAGGTGGTCTGACCCCCCCTCATGCATCGCTCCAGGCCTCTGTCTTTGCTCTTTAAGTGTCTGGGGCAGGAACAACGGGTTAGGTTAGGTTAGATGACTCGTTTTCGGTTTCTCCCCCACCCAAAAACACCGATTTCCCAGGCTCTCCCCCATTATTGTTGGGGGGAGGGGGGGGGGTAAAAACGAGCAATTTCCGCCCAAAATGAAGGTCAGATTCGTTTAAAACACACCAAAATACACGGGGAAAACATATTGATCAACCCCAAAGTAAAAAATCACCCAAATTCGTTTAAAACTCATCAAATACACTGAGGAAAAACCTATTTTTAATATCAAAATAAAGACCGGTGTGACACTATACATTGACCAAAAGTTCAGAAGATAAAAAAGGTGACATTCCCTAGGTCTATATTCACTATGTACTTCTCAAAATGAGTAATTACCAGTACAATAATTAAGGTAAATATAATCATGAGACCCCGTGTATCCACATCAGTTGAGTTTGGGTCGACTCGTGTACCCTATCACTATTTTATATTTAAATATCTATCATTCTCTTTCTTATATTGGCAATTGTTTACCTGGAATAATATCCTGAATTATCGACTCAGCTTCCTGGGATGAATTAGGTAGTTTGTCTAGTCGCTCGAGGAGTGTTTTGGATGGTGTCATGGTGGATACAACACTAAGATATATTAAACTTTCTTAAAATTTATACACCATTCACGTGCATCACTTTCGGTTTTCTACGGTAAGATAAACGATAATTATCAATTAGAAAATATTATCACGTAAGAAAACAGCCTTTGAGAAACCTATCAATATCAGTGGAAGGTCCCTATACAGCCTTGGCCTTGACCACCTCTATTAGGCATCACCATTAGCAACAAATCTTCATAAGCAAGTTTCCAACAAATCATTATCTGCAAGGTAGCAACCAAAATCAATATCGAATTATGTCCTGTATTATAAATGACCCCTTGCTATTGTAACTCCATATAATGAAAGTTAATAGACGTTGGTACAAGCAGCGTGATCAGTATCGACCTATCCTAACTTATGTTAATCATTTAAAACCTCTATACACTTCCCGAGGGCACAGCTGTAGTACTGCTGGCTCCACTATTGGCTGTAGTTTGCTTTTAAGGCATCCAATATATACATATGATACACATGGATATTTCTAACTAGAAGGAACTTAATAGCACTTAAATTGGCTTTTATAAGTAATACTAATCGTGAATTAATAAATATGCCTCAAAAAATAAAAAATATAAACTAATTTATGAAATCAATATTATCAGATGCCGTTAGTAAACAGTGGTGAGGATTGTGACGGGAGTGTCTAGGTGGAGCTGTTTTATCTTTAATTATCTCAACCATCCCGAGTCACCTGGTAAATATTACTTCTGTTGTTAATAGAAAATGTTTATGGTTCATTATATTTTACAGATTTAGAGTCGTACGGTCTGTAAATTTTAGAGGATTTTAAGGTCATTTTTTGGGTGTTTGGTGAGCGGCGGCGTCAGGAAGGATTGCATCAAGTCACACTCGCTATCATAGGCCATGTTGATAGCTAGGTGCGTCGTCTCTAAGGTAATATAGTTAAATAGACTTACAGCGTTATATAATATACGTAGTGAAGGTATACAAACAATGTTCCTAGACAGGGAAGGTTTACAAACAATGGTAAACAGGAAGTTGGTGTGACAAAGGATATCCAACAAGGTGTACCTCCAACTCGGCCCATCTTGCTTCAAACTAGTGGATGACTAGAGGTTCAGGAATGAGTTTGAGATATGTTTTATGTCTTTTGGTTCAATGAAATGCGAAGAGTGTGAATGAGTGGATACCGAGGGTTCAGTCGGTATGAAGGATGAATTTTTATGAGTATGTTAGTAGTACTTGATCAATGAACCATGATTCTCATTCGTAACTTGTGCTTCTCTGGGTGATTTCGTACTGGGTTTGAAATTATTGCTTCCAGAAATTTGCCTACAATTGATGATGTTAAACTGATTGGACAGTAGCCTCCCTTGCTACCTTCACTTCATTATTCCTCTTCGGTCTGACTAATTACCAGATGAAAATGTCCGCATTAATGGTTAGGTACATGCACGCGATCTATTAACTCAGATTAAATTAAGTTTTCCAATTTTTTTTTACTTTGTGACACCAAATACTAGTCGAGAAGTGATTGGCAGTCCGATTTATTCATGTAGGAACATTATTTGACTTCATTGCGGCTACATTTGGGTAATTAGTCGGACCCTTTCTCTTTGCTTTTTTTTATCTTGGTCTTAACCCTATTGGGGCTATTATTATTTTATCTGAGTTTTCTGTATGGTACGTTCTGCCTTTGTGCATTAAGTACCGGTAACTCATTTTTTAAATTGTCGTGGAACTCGTCAACCTCAGATCTCGTGATCGGGTTACCCTCAACTGTCATATTTTGTGAGGGTGTCTTTGTCAGGTGAACTAAATATGAAATTATACATATTAAAGAAAAAGATCACCTCTTCCACATATGTACATTAATATACTAATAAGATAGAATGAAAAGATAAATAACAAATCAATTCCCCCTCCCCCCTATAATCTATACTGCTTTTTATCATTGTACTTTTATCATTCATGCAAAAATGTGTAAACTTTTACTTTTTAGTCCGAGTTCGTTAACCTAAGTGGTCCAAGTTGACAATGGGCCGAGTTGGACTGCAACCTCCAACAAAACTATCATATACTATTCGCTGTGGATATTTGTACGTTTGTCGGTATTGGACAAAACTTTGTGGAAACGTTAATTACAATTATTAAGTAGATAAGTGGAAACGAGAATCCATTTACTGTCATAAAGGTATGTTTTAAAAGGTTTTTCTTGTAACATAAGTGAGGTAGTTTACTTTAGATTAGGTTAGTTAGGTCAAGTTTTACCATTAATAGGTTCTGTGCATTCATTTTTATTTATATGTTTAATAGATTGTTAGTATCGTTTCCCCAAAGTTTCGTCCAATTCTATTAACTCCTGCTGGTGTAGTCTAAAAGAAAGGTACAGTATTATTATTGTTTCGGTTATGAAGCGAATTTTAGGATTTTAAGTTTAGGTTAGGTTGAAATTATGTTTCTTCTATGGTTTTTGATGTGTTTTGAACGATCCTGACCTGCTTACATATAGGTGCATGACCGAAACGATAATTTTACCCCCATAAAACCTACCGACAACCAGACAAATATTCACAGCCATACTTATTTCTGTTAATATCCATCCATTGACTGTCCGCAGGTTCCCGCCATGTTTACCTGAGGTTATACTTAGAGTCAATTGTCTCTTCCTTACCTCTCCCTCCTTGTAGGATAGGTAGGTTGGTATGAGAATAGGTTTATTTTGTATTCTTGGTGTGTTTTACAAATTTTACCAGCATTTTTGGTGCAAATTAGCAGTTTGTTAAAAATGAAAATTTTATTATTTTTTTTTTGCCAAAGAAATGAATGTCAGATTTGAGTAAAACTGAAAAAAAAATCTATTCACATACCAAAACCTGAGAATGGCCAATGGACGAATATTTACCCTTATTTCAAGTAGGTTCCTTCGCTTAGGCCACAGCCGCACTGAGAGCGGGCACGTGTTGTTGCCAACTCGCGTCTGCTGCCAGTGCGGTTACAATGCTGCAAAGTCTTCCGCACCCGCCTGCTCTCGGTACGGCCGCGGCCTTAGGCTTAGGGACTAATCATGAATTAAGTATACAAAAAATAGAAGTGTAAACTTGTGGTTACAAATATTGTAATAAGAATAATGATACACCATTATCCAAGACTCTTGGATCACTTCCACAATACAATAAAAAATTGGGTTAGTGTCTGAAAACCAATATGGTCTACCTATTCAATGACTAAGTTGTGTACAAGCTAATGAGACTACACGATCTGCTACATTATGCTTTAAATGGTGCCTGTTGCTGCTAAAGTTCTAAAGTTTCATTTAAGAGATTTGGTTTTGACAGGAAGGTGTAACTAAGTCTTGACAGTCACTCATTCTAGGTTTACTCATAAAAGGTGTTTAAAGACCACTCCTCCATTATTAATGAGTCTCAAGAACAAAAAGAGGCCACAATCTTCCCCCACAAAAGAAAATTATGAGTAAGAATTTTTTCCCAGTCTGAAAGTTAATCAGAATTACCATTGATATGTTCATAAAATAAATACCTATTTAAAAATAACAATATAGCATATGCTTTTCAGAGCCCCAATGGAGCAAGAGGAACTGCAGTATGATGAAGGGGTCGATGCTGGCGAGGGTGGAGATGAGAACTTTGTGGGCGGGGGAGAGGATGATCACCAGCTGAACGACACAGACCAGTCCATAGAAACAGAATTGGAAGCCATTAAAGGTGCAGTTTCTAAGTTTTTTTATTGTTTTACTATTATTATTATTATTATTTATTTTTATTATTTATATTATTATTATTATTAATATTATTATTATTATTATTATTATTATTATTATTATTAAAACTTCAGAAGAACAATTCAGTGCTTAAAGGAAAAATTTTGTTAGGCAACAATATAGGTGACGAAAATTGGTAGAAAAAGTAAAGGGATTTTTTTTTTTTTTGCAAACCCTTTCCTTCATTGTTGTTTGGTGGCTGGAACCAAAGGGTACACACGCTTCCCCTAATTTGCAATCATTCTTTCATTAATTTAAGCTGCTGTAACAGATGTTAACAGATGTGTTCTGTTTTGGTGTTCCTCTCACTTCATACAACCCAGCAACCAAAGCCCAACCATCCCCATAAACCATTCAGCACAGTGCTTTTGGATCTTATGCAGTACAGTATATATGCACTGCTGCTAGCTAGATTTCCATCCCTTTTTATCATTTAGCTACTGTATGTCTTCTGCCTCGCCCATCCATGTCCTTATAAAGTCTTCCTTGCCTCCTCTGTCATATCATCCACTGAAGAATATTACAATTAAGCCAGCATTTTCTTAGCAAGGGATCATAAAGTGTTACTGTGGATAACTATGGTTGGTTTTGCAACATCTCATGGTGAGAATTTGTTATAAAAATAAGCAAGGAGTGTAGTGAATGATGATATGAAAAATTTGAAGAGTTGGCACTTTGTTTATGTTGATGATTATTTCAGGGTTGAGTACCTGTATTTTTTTATATTTAATTATTCACATAGAACTGAAATTATAAATGTAAAGTTTTTAAATCTCAAGTTGCCATTAATCCATAATATGTTTAATGTAATGTGAAATTGGCAGCCTTGTGATGATAGATGATGTTTACCAATTGATGAATATTTGACAGATTTTTTTTTTTTTATCCTGTTGTATTGATTGCCTTGTATTTTTTGTACGTTTTGTTTAAAGCATCAACATTTCAGCTCGGGTCAGGGAGATGGAAGAGGAAGCAGAAAAAATTCGTCAAATTCAGTCAGAAGTCGACAAACAGATGAACTTGGGTTCACCTCCGGGTGCTGCTGGAGCAACTTCCCCACTCAATATGTCTCTGGAGGAGAAGATGGAAGTGGATGCACGGTCTATATATGTTGGTAATGTAAGTGTAATAATCTGGCAATTGCTTAACTTTTTTTTGTTTCTTTCATAGAATACTGTATAGGGACCCATGTAGGGTCACCCCTGTCCATTCATTTGTACATTTAAAGAAAAAATCTCACTAAATTCAGAAAGGCTTCACAGTTTGAAAAGAAATGTGATATGCAGCTTTGTGTCTCGCAATTCACAAATACTGTAGTATGTAAATGGCAAAATTCCTATTGTATACTTGTTGTTCGCTGTTCTTAGATTAGCTGTTGCTCATAATTATGTCACCTTTGTCATTTTTAGAAGCATTTTGAAAATAAAAAAATTGGGGGGGTGGGTATTCTGGGACATACAGTATTTAAATTTAATAACATGGGTTTCTGGCAGCTGAACACTTTAATTTTCATCACTGACTTAGATGTTTACAACCGATATTGACTATAATTATGACATAATTGTGACAAATAATGATGTATTGAGCACAGTAACACTACAGTACTGGATTTGAACATTGACTTTTCATGGACTTGTGAAACGTTTTGCTGCATCCAGGCTGTTATTTGTGTTTCAATGGCTTTAGATGTACGAAATACCTGGTAGTTTGACTCGTACATGCTCCTATTGTCATCCATGATTTCAGAGAATACAATATGCTACTGTACTAATGTACTGGTAAGGTTAATATGCCATAAGCCTTCCAAAATGTGGATATGAGGTAAAGAAAATTAAATTTGAGAGTTGGTGAAAAATATTACTCTATAATGCAGGCAGTCCCGAATTATGTACGGGATCCCAGTATTCGTCACAAAAATCTGTAACTAAAATCCCATTTTTTACATTATAGTACAGGTATTTTATACTGTTGAACATCACTTTAATTACATTACAATATTTGTTATGTATGGCATATTATTGTTGTTTTGTATGAGCAGGGTTGCTTTAATCTAACCTAATGCATGGAGTTAACACTGTTCTGACTTAAAAACAGGGTCCAGGAACGTAACTCGGAGACTGCCTGTACAGTATATAGCAAAATTAATTTGAGTTTTTCTGAGGTTATCATTTTGATACTTTCATAAGTACATTCTGCCTCCTCCATCAACTCCAATAATGATGAAAAGAGAAGTTCGTGAGGAGAACAGCTTGTGTCAGCCAGATTTTAACTGTTTCTCCAAGTATGACGATTAATTAATCTTCTCTCTGAATGTTATGCGTGTGTATCATACACACACACACACACCTACACAAACACACATACATACATACATACATACACACACTATGATTTATGTACCATACTTAGATTAAGAAAGATTGGTTTGTGAAAGTGTTAATGAATGTAACTGTGTATTGATTTAGGTTGACTATGGAGCTACAGCAGAGGAACTTGAGCAACATTTTCATGGCTGTGGTGCAGTAAACAGAGTTACTATACTTTGTAACAAGTATGATGGTCACCCAAAAGGCTTTGCGTATATTGAATTTGCGGAAAAAGATTCGGTACAGATGGCTATGGCACTTGATGAGTCACTCTTCAGAGGAAGACAACTGAAGGTAGGACCAAAAAATTTTAATTAATTTTTTCTTACTCTTATATTGTCTTGGTTTACTACTTGTTGTGAGCTCCTATATTATTATTGTTTTTGTTATCATTACAATCAACAGTAATCCATCACCAACCAAGGGGATACTTTCTAACTTTTTCCTGTGGTTAGTAAGGGCTGAATCTAATGGAAATTACCATAAATAATTTTGTAGAAGCCCAACTCATGATGACCAGCACAGCAGCTAATGGTATGATTAATGTTACCAATTCTGAAACTGAATTCCTGCCAGTTAGCAATTCCTGTTTATATATTTTGCTAGATTCACCCTTAAAGGCAAGGAAGAGTGCTTGAAAGTGCCAGGCACATTCATGTTAGTAGTCAAGGCAGTTTCTAGATTTAGTTTTTGTTAAAGAGTGGAGAACCCTGCCTCACAGAGGTAAGTAGTGACGAGTGGGACATAAGTTTCAAGTGCATGGCGAAATAGCGCTTTGTACTCTTCTATCTTGTTCACCCAGAAGTCCACCAAAACCTGGTTGAGCAAGACTGCTTCTAAGGACAGTGTTACTTTGAAGTTCTATAAACTCCTACTTTGCAGGGTGATCATTGTCAATCACTTCCTCTGGCACTTCAAATGTTGTATTTTCCTGCTGAAGTAATCATCAAATGCTTTTTCAGACCTGACAAATGCAGAATAATCTCACCAACCTTGATACCATATATGAATACCGGTAGCTAAAATATGCATTCGCATGTGCATATACTGTATGCAAATAAATAATTATCCGGACCCTCCCCCTCTCCTCCATACATCTCTGGTTCAACAACCTTGCTTTACTGCAGGGAGAGAGAAAAATTTTTTGTGGCAAGTACCTCCTCCTTATTGAACATTTATAGGTTTCAACCCATGGTGACATCACAGTTTCAGGTACTGTACTACTTCATTCATTAATGTAACCTAATCCTTATTTTTTAAGAAGAAAAAATGATAAGGATACCTGGAAATCACATTTAAATTTTTCCTGTTTATTTTGAATTACGGGCTATTTTGCTCATCCATAATCAGAGAGAGATTTGTCCAACTATCAATATTGTAATATGAAAAGATTAAAACAACTTATCCTCATGTAACTTTTGCAGGTTATGCCTAAGCGTACAAACAAGCCAGGGATCAGTACCAGCAATCGACCTCCTCGGGGTGCGAGAATGGTTGGACGTGGACGTGGACGTTTTTATGCTGGTTATCGACCTATGAGACGGCCAACCAGGTACCTGTGAACCTAGCTTAAACTTTTCACTGTAGGTCTTGAAAAGCCTCCAACAACATGTTTGAACAATTCTTACCTTCATATCAGTTAGTGATCAGCTAAATAATTTTTTTTAATTGAAAACACTCTTCACAGATATGATATACATATTATATCCTTACTGAGTTTGTATTTTGTTTTTATAAGGAATGGTGACAGATTTACAAAACAAATTTGAATTTTTTAGTCTTTAAAGCATTGTGACTGCCAACAAAATAAGTTGTGCACTGTTGAGTAAAGAACTTTTTAAGTGGTTCTTGATAAGGTACCCCTGTAACACCACTTAAGTTATGTTTTTTGGAAGGAGGTTTTAGTATTATTGCATCTGTTGTTCTTTTTTCTTGTAAGCTTTTGAGGCTGGGTAAGTATTATGTTAGAATTCCTTAATAAGAAATAAGTTGCTATCTTGTTGAGGATTTTACTACATGATAAAAAGTCTGAATAATGGATATCTCTTTCTTTCCTCCCCTTTTTTTTTTTTATTCTTGACGCTACACTGGCTCTTGTCTCTCTCTCCTTTTTTTTTTTTTTTAAGACAGTCTCAAACCTTTCTGTTTATCATCATCCCCACTCCTGAACTTGATGACATGGTACTGGTAATATGATAGTTTTTCTTGTAATTGAGTAGGTATATTTTATTACTTATTCATTTCTCTACTGAACAAAACTTAACTTTTACTTTAACCTAAATCTTGGTTGTTGGAGAGTATTTATTTATTTATTTTTTTATGCAGGAACTTATCCCAGCATACCATTATATTAAAACTCCCGAGAGCAGACAGGCACCATTCATATTAATCTGGTATTCAGTTTTATTATTTATTTAATATTATTATTTTTTTATATAATTGTACGTACGTCTAAAACATGGCTGGTACCTCCATATTACATCAGAAGATAATTCAGATGGGTAGGAAAAGTTTTTTCTGCCTTTTTTGTTTTCTTTTCTTTTTTTTTTCATATTTACTTGAGGGGAAAAGCAATGAATCCTTGTTTGATGGTGGTTTTTTACAGGTTCTCCTACACATAACTTGATATCACCCTTCCTCCACATGACTTGGTCTCAGGACACGTGCTGATTCTATCAGTGACACTTGCATCTTGTGTACTTTATACCTACTCCCTGTTCTTCTGCTGTTCCCTATGTTTTTGAATTTTGGATTATGGGTTTCTACATCTTTGGACAAGTATTCCAACTTTACATTCAAACACTGTTTTATAACTTCTGTCAGGATCTAGCAACTCTAGTCAATAAGTTTAGGGGTCCCAACCCAAGTTTATAGAGTCCCAACTGTGCTTAGTATCTAAAAACCAAATAAATTTGATATTAGATTATTCTTTGCCTTCATACTGGATTCCTGAATGATGTCCTTATCAGAATGGGGTGTGGCCCAAGACTACTGAGTGGAAATCTTGGTTTAGATCAAGGTTGTCAAACATTGATGCTTGAAGTGTCTCCAGAGGGTGCATGAGATGGCTTTGGGATGTACGAGTATTTTCCATGTTGTTTTGGCAGTGTTGCTAATATTTAATAATATTATTTATTCAAAATTGAAGTAATTATTTTTGTTCTGTCATAATCTATGAATAACAAGTACAGTACTGATATGTTTTGTGTGTATATATATATATAAGTATATATATATATATATATATATATATATATATATATATATATATATATATATATATATATATATATATATATATATATATATATATATATATATATATATATACTGTATATATATATATACTGTATATATATATATTGTTGTTGTTTTTTGTTTTTTTACCCATTTGTAATATTGATGGGGTGGGGATGCTTGGTCCAAATGAATTTTGTCAGTGGGTGCATTAACCAAAAAATGGCTAGACAGTGCTGGTTTAGATGAACACATCTAAGTCAGAATGGGGTTTCCATTTCTCGTAAGGTTTAGAACTTATGAGACATTGGTCTACACCTGGTTCAGGGTTTCATATCCTGAAAGAACTGATGGTTCGTTTCTTATTTCTTATGTATATAGGGCTCGAGTTTCTTGGGGGAAGTCAAAAAAGGAAGGGGTCAGAGCACTGTACGTTATACTCAGCAAACTTTCAAACCCTCTTAATTTTTAATGGTATCTTTTGACCAAGTGGATATCCTTTGTAACCCCAGTATGAAAGTAAAGAATAATTTAGTTATTGAATATATAAAGTTCGTAGATCCCGGTCTCAAACTGTGGCCCAGGGGCTTAGTTTTGATTCCCACGTTTGTCAACCAATATGGAGTTTCTCTATAATGACCTCTTTATAAAAACAGGATTTCAGGATCAATCCTCTAATTACTCATTTCTTCATCCATTTTTCCTCTGTGTTCTTACCTCATCTCCACCTTTATTTAAGCAATCCAGAGAAAGTGCTGCATTGCTGTGTACGTGAATTTCTTAATCTACAGTATTCAACTTGTAACTTCATGACCATTTCTGAGGAATTCTAGATTAGCAGCTTGTGTGTACTGTAGGCTGAGCTTTTCTACCACCAAACCTTTTTACAGCTGATGGTTTAATAAATTTTCCTTTGGTTCTCTTAACCCACTATGTGTTGAGCAATTATGACTATGAGTGTCTGTCAACTTCAAGCAGAAATTGGAAAGACATAAACAGTATCAAGCAGACTACGTTAATGAAATTGATTGTGGAAAATGAATTGTGCTGAAAATGTTCCTTGATAATTTTAGTGTAATGCACATACATATACCTCACTCTTACACTCACTCACAATCACACTCAAAATGAACATTGGTACCGTACATAATATAAATCCTCCTCATATCCAATAATTTCATTGAAATCATCATCATCCCAGATTCTGTCTTTTGAGAAACCATTCATCAATAAATAGATGTGGCCTTCAGAAACAAAACACACTTCCTCAAATCTTGAGGTACCATGAGCAACTGGGGTAGCTTGGAGGTAATGGGTTTGGTCATTCAGTTGACTCCAGTATGGCAGTGCTGAGAGTACACATTTATATACTGGTACATGTTTCATGGGTAAATTTTATTTTATCTTATTTTTAAGGTAAGGAATGAGTATCCATTTAGAACCCAATATTGCATACTTGTGTATACATGACATTGACACTGAATGGGTTAAAGACTTGAAGCCCCTGTGAAATTAAAAACTAAAGATATCTTCCATCCTTCCTGAAAGGTCATTCCAAACAGTTTGTTTACAACATATTTTCCGCCATACTGCGCTTAATCTACGAAACTCGGCCTAGTCCAACCCAACCCATTTCATGGTATTTCAGTATTTTTTCTTGGAATACAGGCTGTTGAGTTGTTACAGGTATACACACTACTAGATTCCTGTATTGTTTAATTATTTGTACTTCATTGTTTATTGATGTAACCTGTGCACTGTACTGTATATTAATGCAGGCTTCCTCATATGTGCTGGGGGTTGCATTCCTAGAAAAGGCTTGTGTAAATGAAGATAGGTTTTCATAGTAAATGGGGGTAATGTTCTCAGCCATAGCCAGTGTCCCATTTGGTGATTTTTTTTGTTTTGTGATTTACGGTGTAATATAAGTACTTAATCAAACTACAGTGAAACCCCAAACAAGTAACATTTTACATTACATCACCTTGTTGTCAGAAACTCCATTCCAGAGGTAGATAAGATACTGGTACCTGTATAGCATAGTGACATAAGGATATATTCCAGGACTTTAGAGAAGGAAAACATGAATAAAAAATGTAAAGTTAAAATGTGATAGAAAATATGAAATGTGGGTAAAGAAAAAAACTTTAAAAATACTTTTAACCTGGTGAGTGGCAGGGGTTTCTCACACCTGAATATAGTCATGTGGCAATAGCCAGAATAAGATACCTAAGTGCGACGCTACTCCTTAGAGGGTTAATAAGATGATAAAACAACTCGCACTGTGGACTTGTCTTGGAGCTAGCACTATATTAACACCACTGCCTTAGCTCCTGTTGCACTCCTCCTCCCCTCTGAAATAGCACTGGTGAGAGAGGGAAGGTAACAGGATCTACTCAGAGAAGGATTGACCTGGTTGTTGCTGTGGGCTGGAAGGTTTCTTGGGGGAAGGCATCAAGGGCGGACTGCCTTGACTTCTCTTTGTCACAAAGCATCTCAGAGTACCAATTCATGGTTTGTAATACGCACCTTTTCACTCCACAGCATAATTTTTTTCTAGTCAGGATCGTGTTGTTGTCTGTACTTCCCATTATTTTTTAAAGATTTTTATTATCATTATTTGCCAACTTTGTCATAAAGGAGCTTTGTTTTCAGAGGATTCAATTTACCGTATTTACTAACAGCAACAACACTAGGAATTGTGAATGAATGATGCAAAGGTACAGGGGCGAGATCTCTGGTGTGGCTCAATGTTTGTGTTCATTTTATGGGGATTCCGTTCCAGGGGCAATTTACATCTTGGTATGGTTCTCTCACCTAAATGTATTACCAGTATAATAACTAGCCAGTTTGTATAAATATTATTACTTAATACTGTATTTATAAAATGTATGAGGCAAACAAATGAGAACGGGAAAACAAATTATTTTAAATAATAAGTGTTATCTGCTTTTGTGTATATGGGGTAACATCAGGAAATGGACAAGTACTGTATACAATTCATAATTTTGTTGATTTAAATTTTTTTTCTGTAATACATTAAATTTATTTTTTTAACAAAATTACCATATCATATAAATAAGTCTTAATTCATTGTCATGTAATTTTCTGTTATGTGTGAATGCAGAAAATTTCCATCACTTTTTAAGATTTTAACTATTTAAAGCTACAGTATTTATGTTCTAAAATGTAATACTGTACTGTACTGTATAAGCATTGGCAGTCTACACTATATGCACTCCCACTCACTACACAGTATGTAATTTTACATCTTAAGGAATTTATAAATTAGTGGACACATTTCATAGTGTACTT